GGGTGGGGGTCACGAGGATGGAGCCAGACTCTTCCCAGTGGTGCCCAGCACCAGGACAAGGGGCCATGGGCACAAACTGAAGCAGAAGAGGTTCCAGTTGAACGGGAGGAAGAACTTGTTGACTTGGAGGGTGCCCGAGCCCTGGCCCAGGCTGCCCAGGGGGGCTGTGGAGTCTCCTTCTCTGGAGATCTTCAACCCCCGCCTGGACGCTGTCCTGTGCCCCCTGCTCTGGGTGAGCCTGCTTGAGCAGGAGGGGTGGGACTGGGTGAGCTCCTGAGGTCCCTTCCAACCCCTGCCATGCTGGGATTCTGTGATTAAAGGTGTTTTCATCTTAAAAACCAACAAGCATGGGGCTTCCACCCCCTCCCAGCAGCCTCTCCAGCTGTTTGACCGCTCTCTCAGGAAAGAAATGTCTTCTTCTATCGATATTTTTCATTTTCTTTCAACAGGCTTGGCCCTAAATTGAAACCCCGAGGAACAGCGCTGGCAACCGGCCACCAGCCAGAGGTAGCCCGGTTCGCTACAACCCTTCCCAGTAGCACCCAGTAGCAGGGTGGGAAGAAACCAGCAGCGCTCAAGGGCTCCCGGTTACCCCGAAACCGGCCAGGGAAAGCGCCGGTCACCAACCCACGGAGCTCACCTGGTTTCCGTACTGGTGCAGGCTCTCGAAACCCACGCGTTTGGCCAGCGAGATGCAGGCGATTCGGCGAGGTTGGGTACAAGCCACGTGGCTATAACCGGCCACCAGCAAGAACTGAGGCACCTGCGTGGATTTACCGCAGCCGGTATCGCCGGCCACCACCACCACTTGGTTTTGAGCCACGGCGCGGAGGAGCCGGTCCCGGTATTGGGAGATGGGAAGCGCCGCTCGTTCCCGTTGGAGTTTGGCCAGTTTGGCGAAGCTTTGTTTTTGGGTGAAGTCCAGGTAGTGCAGCAAAGCGGCGCGGAATTCGGTGAGGCGTTCCCGGGGAACGCCGGAGTCTCCTCGCCGGCCTCGGATCGTGTCCTCCACGTCGGCGCTCAGCACCGAGAGGTTGACGCGGTACCGGGGGGCGGTCGTAACGGCGGGGAAGGTCGAGGCGGCGGGCGGCGGCGGGGGGCTCCGCTTGGTCGTGGTGGCCGGGGCTTGGTTCGCGTTCGGTTTTCCGGCTCTGGAAATGCCGGAGGCGCTCGAAGAAAGCCCAAAAGTTGCGGACATCCTCGGAGCCGGCTCCGATGTAATCCTGCTCGCGGAAATACAGCTCTTCCAGCCGGCGCCGCGTGGCGGGGCAGTCCCAATCCCACCGGGAAGGCGAAAGGTCCCGTTCTCGCCGCCGGGATCTGCTCTCCTTCTCTGGTGGCATCTCCAAATGGTTCCGGAGCTGAGGAGCTGTGCCGGGGCGGTGGTCCATGGGAGGTGGGGCCTTGTGCCCACCCTTGGCTTGTCCTGGGGGTGCTGGGGGAGCGGGGTGCGACCCTGCTGGGCCCTGGCCCTGGCCCCGGCCGTCCCTCCC